TATATATATATATATATATGCGGCCGATAATTTAAAGTTTTGGGGGAGAACACCCTCCAGAGCAACCCTCGCCACCCTTTGCGCACGTGAAGTTGGGCGAAACGGTTGTTCCGGTATGCAAGGAAAATTCTCGCCATCTAAGAATCCCTCGCGATATCGTCTCGAGAAGCTTATTCATCGGACGTTCGGGATACGGTACGAGCTACTTAGGATCCTCCTCGTGGACTCTCGCTCGGTGTCGTACATTTACGACAGGAGTATTTGAGGATAGAGGAGGGTCTACCGCCGCTTCTGCACGATTTATTTTTATTGTAATGCGTTTTACACCGCAACGAATGGCTACTCGGAGACGAATAAATTCGCGTCAAAAAATGCACCGCTTTGCATAATTGTATATTTGCTTGGAACGTCGCGGAAACTGCGCAGCTCCCACAAGAATATCTATACATTAAAAAAAAATTAAGTCCAGAATTATCAATCTTGACATATATGAAAAACTTTATATGAAAAAGACAGTCTTTATAATAAATTACGAAAAATAAATTACGCGTATCATGATCAAAATTTGTAAATATTTTATGAAAAATAATACGGTAATGGTGAGAAGTAAATATTAAGTAAATAATGAGGTAATATATTGGATTGTCCGGAAAGTTCGTGCCGACTAATCTATATAATTTAATAAATGTATACTAAAATTTAAATCTTCTTTCAATTTTCCTTTAAACTCGGCTCAAATTTTTCGGACAATCCAATACATCACACGATATTAATAATAATAATAATGATAATTTGTTCAATTTATTTGAGAAAAATACGTGTATTTCCGCGATTCTTACTTTTACCGAAATAAAGAGCGGAACAATTTTTGATCATTCTTACTGTTCATGTACAGATATTCTATTTAAATAAAGCAAATATTGAAAGTCGATAAAGATTTTATACATTACTGAGTTTGGAATGAAATAATGTTTGCTAGACATGTATGAAAAGGATTAATGCACTATTAGATTAAACCAATAATGTTCCATTGTTATGTGCCTTTGTACAGCTAAACGATCGTACGATGCAAAGTAATTACATCTTGCGCGGGAAAATACTGTAACGCATTGTAAAATTGCTTTGGTTCACAAAGCGTAGTAGTTCGTATTATGTATATACACTGCGTCGATAAAACGAAAATGCAAAAATAACAAAAAGTGAAATATCACATCAAGATCTTTCTATAATTAATGAAACAGACATATTATATATTTTTAACAATTTGCTTAAATACGACAGGATATTGACCTTTATCGAAATTAGGTCAATATTCTTGCGTTTCTCGCAATCTGAAATTTTGTACCAATAATTATATAAAAATCGTTTAAATTAATTATATCTTGTTTTATACATCGAATTTTGTAAAGATTGAAAAAGATGCGATTTAAAGCTAAATAGTTGGCATATTTTATTATATACACATATAAAAAAATCGTAAAATACAAAATACATTGTATATTTATATGATGGACTTTATACAGGAAAAATTTGATCAACTTGAGAATGTTATTACTATGTCTGTCGAATTATATAAAGATTAAGTAATCGACATGTTGTACACGGTTGCAAGAAGTAGTTAGGATCGAATCTTACGAAAAAGAAATAGCGATTCTTATTGTAATAAAATCGAATTATCGAATTTTTGCACGTAGCACGATAACTGTATGTGCGACGCGATTGGCAACAGCTTATCGGCAATGCGATAACATTATAATTCATACATATCGCAATCGAATACTTATGCAAAACGTGTCGAAACGTTGCCCGACCTGAATGACAATCACAAAGAAGATTGTTCAATGATTTTGCAATCTTCAGTGCAACCACTTTAAAGGCGCACTTAAACGGCGAATAAATAAAATTTCGATGCAATAATATTATTTTCAAGTTTAATAAAATATGAAAAATAAAATAGCAATGATTATATTAATTTTAATTTCTATATTTTATATAAAATTGTAAAATATGTGATATCAAACGATGAGTAGAAAATAAATTAATATAAAATTTGCACATTGTTATTTTTTCATAATTTATTCTAATTTGCGAATAAGAGTTTTAAAAAGATACATTTGCATCACAAGTAAATTAATGAACGAGATAAATGTACGAGTCTGTTAATCGTCTTAAAATCAACAATTTTATAAGATGAGAAATTATCTTAATTATAGTATAAATACACACTAAAATTTCGTTCGAATACGGTTTCGCTCGACAATGAGATTAATCTACAAACTACTATTAATTTTGTTCTCTACTGCTTCACATGAATATTGTGCTCGAAAGAGCGCAAGCTGTGTTATTTATTAGTAATATTATTTACCAATATGAAAACGAGAAGACACGTACTCCCGGCGACAATCTCGCTAGTTTATCTCGATTACCGCCAAGCAACTGTAAATTAGTTTGATAACCGTAAATTAACGCGGCCGCAAATAATGCCGCACCGACGTGGCCGAGGGGAAGGAACGTCGCTAAATTATTATTTATCGAACGGCGACGCTGATATCGGTGGTATAACTTGCAGCTTGCAGGACTGCTTCCGCTGATATATCTCTAGTTACCATTCACCGATGAGAGTACTCTCCATTCGCGGTAAATGTGGATTATTAATTTATAACTACGAATTGCCATTTGCAACGCGTATAGACGTGACGACGCGACGTCGAGTAAATCATCGTAATCGAAGCGAGGTGAAAGTGCTGTGTCGATAACTGCCCGTAATTATTGCAATATACGGGCACGGGCAATAAACGTAATTAATACTATACCAACAGTGCGGTTTCGCGACGCGTCGCGTCGTATGCTTACGGCGCATTATCAGCCGTTACATTCAATACGACTGTAATTAACGGCCCGTATGCGAATCGCCGTACGTACAACGAATGAAGAGAGAGAGAGAGAGAGAGAGAGAGAGAGAGAGAGAGAGAGAGAGAGAAATGTAGTGCACGGCACTCATTGGACTAAACATTCCGACGCATTATAACGTGCGAGGAGGACCGATATTAACGCGACGTGCCGGCGATAAAATCTATATATCGACGCCAATTTGCCATTCAGAACGGGCAATAATTCTTATAATCCACACCGATTTGCGGAAGTAAGCGGTTTTGCGCGAGCGCGCCCCCGCCTCAAATCCACAAATCACTCCTACGTTATATATATATATATATGTACGTGGCGCGGGCTGTGATTTACGGAGCCGTCGCGATTATTAGGATTCTGCCACAAAAGTCGAAATTCGAGATTCCGTCGGGAAATCAGACGGACGGAGGCGAGTGTGCTAAATGTGACCTGAAATGCAAAACCTAATTACGCCATGATTAAGCCACATTTGGATCGTGAGACTTAGTGTTGCTAGACATGCAACATTGTTAATAAATGTGAAGTTTTACAATTAATTAATTTTAGAGAGAGAGAGAGATCAATTATCTTATTCAAATTTTTAATTGAAAAATTGATAAATTTCAGAAAAACTGAACAACTTGCGATACAATCACGAGAAGAATGATTTTGCTGAATTATCTTAAAGATTTAATTACAAAAAGTATGAATCTGAAAATCATTTTATTGAATTGTCAAAATTATATTGAATATAATTATATAGAACTCTCAAACTGATTGCTAGAATATCACAATTTTTTTTATAGCATTGTTTATTATGCTTAAGTTTTCTATGTAATTATTTAATTGTATAACACACAAACAAAAATTATTTTTAGAATTTTTTATATTTAGCTAAATTTTTGTAGATATTTCAGAAAAATCGTTTTTTCCGTCTTCCTATTGAAATGGCCAATTCGTCACCGAGAAAGCTATTGCAATTGACAGGGAGGAATTTGGTATTCAATCTCGCATATATTATCTAGAATATTTAGCGTTACAATGAAAAAAAGGCATAAAAATTGATCGTAAACCCAGCTACACGCGTTCGCAAAAAGCCGCACAGGCAAGAAAGAAAATCGGACGATCGTAAAGCCCGAGGTTATTCGAAATCCAGGCCGGAGAAAGCAGTGAAAGGGCGCGGCGGCGATTAAAAATTCAAATTATAACGCTGCACGTACAGCAAAAGAGAATAAAAACAAAAGATGAAACAAAACTGTAGTCGGCGAATCATACGTTTCCGATCGCGGCGCGAATAGCTCGGGCTTCCAAACGGGTTTACTTACGAGGAGATATGCAAAAGAGGACCTCGATCAGCGCGAATACGTAGCACAAAGGATGTCAAAGGAATCCAATAAACAGCGCGCGAAGGAATTCGATTGCCTACGGGTTCAGGTATATTACGGGCTCGTAATAATCTAGAAATACGTTCCTATGCCCGAACTATCGTGTCGGATAATCAAACGCGTCTCCATAAACTCGTTCTATTAACAACTACGAAGCAATGTGACACACACACACACACACACACACACACACACACACACACACACACACACAACACACACACACACACACACACACACACACACACGCACGTTTTTCGATTGCCACACAAATCCAAAAGAGCCAATTGACCTATATCCCATTTTGAGGTATAAAAACTATCACCCATCCAGCGGCAGGACCATCATCGAGCAGCAGTCGGTACTTTCAAATCTACATACCCTATATATACGTATATACAGTTCGAAACAGGCATTCACTTTTCAAATGCCCATCATGTAGTGTACATATTTGATGTTTTGAAAATGTCATAAGTGATATCCAATATTCAACGTCGACTTCATATCCAGTAAATAGTTTCCTATAAATACGCGGTTCATGTGAAGTATTTAAGTAGTTTCCAGGTATTTGTGCGGTCGCACGCGAGTTCAGAAAATCCTCTTTAATCCGAAACGAAATAATAGTATCGTATCACGCAATAACATAAATATGAAATTAGCGTACGCTCGTTAGCGTCCGCTGAATCTTTCAAGAAGCATCCTTAATGAGAAAGACCACGGTGAATGTGTTGTGGTACAAATGCGGTACCGAGCGAAGAGAAAATTCACTTCTCGAATTAAAATAGCCGTGAGTTTATGAAAAAAAGTAGAGAATCATCGCGGCGACAAGGAGGTAATTTAAAAGCGGCAACCTTGGTTAAGTCTCGACGACGACGGCGACAACGACGACAACAATGTGCAACGCGACTAGGGAGGAGAGAGAAGAACGAGCAAACAGAGATTGGAACTACTCGCATACCCGCCGTCGTATAGCAGTGGCACGACGGTGGGTTGTTGCTTGTTTAGCCGTGTTAGCTTTGGCGTGCGCACCGCCTCGCCTGCAGGCCAGCCCTACCTTATCCGCTTTCGTTACCGCATGACAGACGTGCTTCCGCCCTTATTGTCGGACGGCCGCGCAGCTAATTTCACCCTATATAGGAGCATTGCAGGTATATTCTGTGCGCACGCTCCGTCCTGTCTCCCGTGTCTCGTGTCCCACCAAAACCACCGGGGGAACCCGTTTACCATAATACTTGCAGATGGTGTAATCACGTTAAGCACTGTCGTTGGGATATCGTCGGAATTAATAAATTTAACGTCTCGCCGCGCGCTTCGCCCGCAATACGCGTAAAACAGCAATCCCTTTTTTACGCTCCACGGCGTTACGGCGAAAATCCGAGAAACAATGAAGTCGTGGGACTGTTGTGAAACGCTGTAGAAAATCTGGATTCGTTTAACTATGGTATACCAATTCGATAAACAAGAAATATTTTGAAACGTTTTAGCTCGCATTTCAGCAACGTTATACTGAGAAGATTCAGTAATTATAATAATAATTGGTACACTATTGTGGCTCACGTATTTGCATATACGTATAATTATGTTGCAGATCCTCGTCTTGGCCTGCGCTCTGCTCGTTACAGCGATGGCCACTGAATCGGATAGTGAGGGGCAGCAATCTGGCAGATCGCGAGTTTCTGACGAACAACTGAACGTGGCCCTGAGCGACAAACGTTACTTGAACAGACAGCTTAAGTGCGCCTTGGGAGAGGCGCCGTGCGATCCCGTTGGACGACGTTTGAAAAGTACGAGTTAGACTTCGTTATTCCGGAGAGATCGCATCTCGCGATTATCCCAAACAGGACTTGGAATAAAATTCCAATTCTTCTTTGATATCACAATCCTGAAGAACGAGTAAAAAAAACGCGATTGACTTTTACAGTATTTTGAAAAAAAGACGGGAGTAGAAGATGCTCGGTATTTTCAGAGTAAATTAGGAATATTTATCGTATTGGAATTGTGCAAGACAAAGTTTAGACGACGGGTGTAATTTCCATGTAATTTCGGTGAGTTCAATTTCCTTCTGTGAGAGATACGCGAACAAGAACATCACGCTAATTGTCACGTTTCCGTCGTCGTAGAGTAAACATAGGGGTCGAACGTTTTCGTGTGTCTGCGGAAGCAGAACCTGAGCTCTCAGTGAGATCGTATCAGTCTCAATCCTTTATCGAAAGCGTTAAATATTGAGCATTACCTTCAATTATTCAAACTTGTATCATAAACGTTTATTCGCTTTTGAGGTGGACCTCTTCTATTCTTCCGTCCTCATTTTTCGTTCTATGCTCACCTCATAAAAGGTTAAAATTAACATCAGAGATTCTAGAACAAACTGTATACACTCGCGGAAATGTTAAACATCAAATATCATTATATTCTGCGATAATATTGTGCACACACATGAATCTCAAGAGAAACTTGCGCACATACGCTTTACGTACATAAAACCGACGAAAATTCTGTTGAAATCCTACGTCGTTATTTTATCCAGGTTTAGTGCCGCTGGTTCTGAGAGGTTCCTGCCCGCAGTGCAGTCCCGAAGAGACACGTCAGATCAAGAAGGTCCTTTCTCACATTCAGCGATCCTTCCCGAAGGAGTGGAACAGGATAGTGCAACAATACGCCGGAGTTCTGTAAACGAGATACGATATAAACACACCAGCCACGAGACTGGATGTACTAAATATAGTGAGAAAGGATACAATGAATCACGTATGGGAACACCGTCGATCACATTCATTTATTTAATAATATTGTTATCGAATGCACAAGAAAAATATAGCTCGATCGAAAGAGATATATTTACCTTCCATTTGTGATATGAGTTTTTTTTGTTCAACCCAAGTTTTTTTAATAAAAATCAATAAAATCTAACTAACCGGCTCCCAAAATTCAAACAATTTATAATTAAGGATAAATGAAAGTAAATAACTGCGAATAAATAATCAAGTTTTTTTGCTATTTAGGTTTTCAAAGAATACGAAAAAGTGAGGATTATTTTTTTTATTATTTCTATTACATTACCAAACAGCTCTCTATTTTAAGAGACCAGACTCCGCTCTCTTTTATATTTTGGAATAATTTGAGAGGGAAATTTCGCTTGTAACTAAAAAATCCAGATTATAAATGGACGGTTAAAATATCATCAAAAGCACATAGTAAGATAATTTTGCACGTAGAAAGGTAACTTTGATATGTGAAGATTTTATCTGTATTATCTATTATTCTATCTATGTAATGTGTATGTTATCTGTATTATCTATTATTTATGTAAAATGCTGTGTATAAATTCTGTTCGCACATTTGACATATTTTATTTTAATAAAGTTTATTATACGTTTCTTATACGTATAATATACGTTTCATCGTTTTTAATTTCACTCACGTATCTTTATCTGCGTCGAAGTGTCGCCTTCTTCCGTTTCATTAAAACAGCACGCGTACACCGCGTCTCATTCTTGCCTTTTTATTTCGCGGTATTCAAGCTCCACCTTCTGTTCTGGATCACACGAAGTACCAACGTGCCGCGACAACGACGCACGTTTATGCGCGTTCGTTACACTAAAGCGTGATTCGCATTCGAGATGTATAACATCGATTAGGGATATTGGTGTTTAAACCTACGCGTGATCCAGGAAATGCAAACGGGTCGCGTTACACGCGTTGTTTAGGGCTTATAAGTATTCCGAATTCTCGCAAGGATGGTCTGGATGTTTGACCAGGTTTATCGAGTATTAATGATGATCAACAAGTTGCTAATTTATTTGGCACATAATTAACACTATATCTCCGTTATATATACAGCCACCATGATTGCACCCTGATTCGGATTTCGCTACCCCTGCTGTGAATATTAATTCTACTGTGTCTCGATGTCAAAGCCCTCGTATGCATGCTAATTTAAGTTTGCTTCGTATGCCATTGCGTGCTGAAATAGGCTGGTAATTAAACTTTATAAACATCGAATAAAAGTGTGCGAATAGCGCAGCAATAACATCGTCGCCTTAAAGTTTGAAAAGACGCGTTTCAATATTTGCTGCACTGCGGTAGAACTATTTGAGGAAACTTCTCAGCTGTCAGTGACGTCAGTATGTAAGTTGGAATACGTCCCTTACTCACAGTTCGCAATAATCTCAGAATGGAACGAGTCATGCCAATTTGTCAAGCAACTAGTTATCATTTAAAGTGGCATCATTCAACGAGCTAAGACCGAAACTGACTTGTTTTAAACGAGCCATTCCGCAACAAACAAATTGATATTAGACATTACACGAAGAAAAAACACTTGAAAACTCGAGTCCTGTTAAACGTTACATTCGCAATATGAAACTCGTCACAATCGTTTGCGCAGTAGATATATACAGACAGACTATTATCAGACATCTAAAAATATTACTTTACGACACGTAAATATCCGACTGGCTGCCAATATTTTCAGCGACGATTTCTCGACGAGACGACTATTCAGTTTTTTTATATAATTGAAAACCGTCTCTCGGACCTGCAAAAATCGCGGCGAAGGACGTAAACGTGATGTGCAAAACTATGCGTTGTCCTGAAAATGGCTGCAACCGTGGCAGACAAATCTATTGCGTCACCTCGCAAGTTGCGAATCCTTCAACGACACTCGCACGTCTTCGTCTGACTATTTATCGACCACGTGTACCCAGCCGTTCAAACTAGTTTTCGATGATGCTTTCCCGAGAGAAGCGGAGATCTCGACAATTCAGGAAATCCGATTTGCCACTCCGTCTATCCTCGCAAAATTCAAAATTGAAGTCTACGTAGAAATAAGCGAAGAAAGACGCTGACAATTCCCGCATGTACGGCGTTCATATACAGTGTGCTTCCAAAATGCTTGGACAAACTTTGTAAAAACTATGTAATCTGCAAACAATTTGTAGCTTATTTTTCCTTATCAAAAATATCAATATGTTTGAAGCAGTTAGATTTAAAATAAAAAATTCATCCGTAGATTTTAGAGATGTAGACATGCAACTTTCGAAATTCTATATCCAATTTCGATTTTATTTTAGAAGAATTCCGATTCAAGTTAAATATTAAATACTTTGGCGACCAAGTTGCTAGAGTATTTAATATTTAAAGTTAAAAGGAGAAACTTAGTTCAAAATCAAATTTCCATTAAGGAAAAATCAGCGTCAACTTGATCAAGTTGAACATCAGCAAAGCTCGTCTGAGTATTTCAGTAACATCCTGTACAAAGTGCGACACGACAAGATTCGACTCACGTAATGCTTGTGCATTTTGCATCAGTAAGACGCGATACAATTTAAACAGCTCGTCTCGCTGACTGCAATATGAACTGAGCACACCGATTAAATCGACCTTAGAGCGATTGTGTGATTATCGCATCGATATGATCACAGTTATGGATCAAAGTCCCATCCGACAGACATTTAATCGCTGGATAATTAATCCTTCGATCGATAGGCGATTTCCTACACGAGGCAGTCGTATTCGAGAGTGTCGTCTCGCCGACGACGAGTTGAAGTCGAAGTTACCTCCACCTCTTGGCAAACATTTGTTCTTCTTGATTGATACGCGATAATACACTTTCATTCGGGAGGGACAAATATTGAATCCCGTCGAAGAAACGTGGAGACAGTATATTTGCACACCTCGTGTATGTGTCTCACTGGATGATATTGTACACATGTGCCTTATGTTATTTACACAATCTACAATTTCATTGCTCATTCGCGCGATCGAGCAGTATTTACATCTGGAAGTTTAAAAATTTCCAACTTCACCGAGAATCGAAAGGCAGGTCAGAAAAATCGCTTGTTACACCCGAATGCAGCGAACCATTGTAAAAAAAAAAGACAGGTGTACTTTAATTACTTTTAATTACTCTAAACAACTTGCAACAATACTCACGTTCTACTAATTAAAATTAAACCGAGTGGATACACACTAGTGAAAATTGTTCGACTCAGATTCGACGAAAGTTGATTATTTCGAGTACTTGGATTCCATTTGATTAAAGAACAAAATAAATAACGACATTATATATATTGGCTAGAAAAACTTTCTTACTCGTATTTCTCCTAATTATTAATTAATTAATTAGCACAGTTATGTTTACGATGTAATTTGTATACCTACTCATGTGCGCAAATATCGCAGTAACTTTGTCACATCTTGCCTTGTTTCCTCTCGACACACATGGCGAACTGGGGCAATATGTAACCTGACGATGAGCAATGTCGCACAAGCGATTTTCTAAAATGACGATATCACGACCTCGGGAAAGTGGCGTATTATATAGCCGTAAGATTATTCCGGTGTCGGGCAGATTCCCGTGGTCGTTCGATAGCGGGACCTCCGCCTTATAATTCGTTATACGAGCGTGGTAAAACGGCCATACCTTCACCACCATCGTATACCGCTGTAACCGCTACCGCCATCGCCGTCGTCACCGCCGCTGCCGCAAATCCACGACGTCGTTAAAACGACCAGCCTTCAACGTCGTCTGAAAGTTCCCTCGACGCTTGGGCTCATCCTGAGGGATCATCATTTCCACTCTTTATCGATCGTTGTACAAAAGGCAACTCGTTTTGCCCGATGGAAAACAGATAAAAAGGTCCCTCACTCTACCTCTTTCTTTATATATAGATCTATATAGATCTATATAGATATACACAGAGAGGATGCACGCCGCCCTACGTACGAAGTGCTGAGAGACCGAAGGAGAACTTGAAGAGAGTAAGGAAAAAAACTTCCGTAGAAAAGTTTTCAACGAGAAGGAGACTTCGTTGAACGGTACGAAGTGCTGGGCGAGAGTGATTTCTTTTGGTTCGCCCCGTTCGAACTTCGCATTTTTGCAGCAGTCGCCGCGTGCACGGATATAGCCGAGATTCTCGCTTCGTGCTGTGTTCAAGTGCGCGATTAATATTTTAATGCGGTTCCTCTCCTTACCGAGATAGAAACTGCTATTCGCTTAAGAGAATTATCCGTGAAACGTTTACTTTATTTCGTTTCACGCGTTTTTTTCCTCTCGTTATGAATCGTTAAGAAGAATCGTTACGAAACGTTAAGAATCTTGATATTCAAACAAGGCCTTAAATTAAATTTCCAGCCGATCAACGCTCGATTAAAATTGCGAAAGAAATATCGTAAAAAATAAGGTTTTTTTTTTTATTGTATTTACATCAGATCAAGTTTCAAACGTTTACTAATTATCGATGTTAATTCGATCAATCCTCATAGCTGTCGCTGGTGAAACAAATTTCTACTTTCAGTAAACCTTTTGTTTCACTGCCAAGTAGTACTAATTCGACGTTCTCAAGAGCCACTTCCTAAAGAGGCACAAGATTGACTGTTGATTCTCTCGGAGGCTCACGGGACATTTAGCAAGAGAAAGAGAGGCGCTTTAATTACATTTGAAAGCACGAGGAGCGGCCGACGCGTTGCGACGCGAAAACGTGAAACAGGATTACGGTACGCGACGTTAACGGCGCTTAAACACATGAGAGGAATCTCCGTCGCGCTCTCTCTCCCCCCGCATCCAATATGCCACCGGCAATTCTTGGCGTAGCACAATACATGAATGTGAGAGTGTACGCGAGACTCGTGAATGACCCGGACTCGGGTCTCTCTCTCTCGCTCCTCTCACTCCTCTCGCTCCCTGCGTCGACACACGCACGCACACGATGCATTCCTCTCTCGCATGCATCGCGCGCACGAACTACACCAAACTATACGGCAACCTCACGGCATAGACATTACCATGGCCCGTGCCCGACACGTGGCAGCCGGAGAGAGCGCGATAGCCGACGAAGAGAAACGACGAGAGTAGGAGAGACAGGGCAAGCGAGAGAAATTGCCGTGACTCGAAAAGGCTTTAATGAAAGTTGCCTGTTGCTTGCACAAATCGCTAACGTCGACAGAGAAAATCTCTATCCTAGCCTATCTTCCTCATCTTTTTTTCCCCTCCCCCCTGAGAACACACGCGCCTTCATGTGGATGATGACTGGTGCTAATGGTGCCTACGAGTTTATCCGTTCTTATTAGAGGTGAAGAGTTCACCGTAAAAAGGACGTATGATTAATGGTGGCGTGAGAGAAACAGGCATAAAAATTTAAATTCCGCATTGTTAAAAGGAATGGCGCGCGAAACGCGTACATAAATGAAATCTAAAAACATAATTCGCTTTGAGAATAAAAAGAAAGAAAAGCCGCTTGCCTCTATGATTAATGCTTTCTATATTGCGTTTTTATTTCGCATAGACTCGACAATTATGCATATCTCGTTTATAATGAGCTGGAATGTGCCATCGAATGTCTCTTGGATTACGATAAAAACGGAACTTTGCTAGCACGCACGTTTTTGCGATCCAATTCGAA